GAACTATTTCGTACATTATGTTTGTCACTATTATTAATAAATATTTCAAGTAATATATTTTAATATAAAATAGAATAGAAATGTACTTTAGTCACTTTGTTCTAAAATCGACTTATTTTTTTCTGGTTATTTCAATAGAGGCTGTATCTTAACATTAAAAACAAATATAAATTGGAGGAACTTGAAAAAATAATGCACTTTTGTTAGTTTTTGACAAAAACAAAATATTTTTAAACTGCAGAATGTGTGGACTGTTGCCAGTGGTTTTGAAATATGGTGTCATAAAAGACGAGGTTATGAACATCTTTTATCTGTACAATAATTGTCGTTCGGCCTTAGTTTTCGAGATGAACAAAATTGTTGGTCCATCCAACGAACTAAGTAAAGTAGAGGTAAGAAGTAAGTAAAGTAGAAGAAATAAATAAAATGTTCAAGTCATCGATGCTGAAACTATAATTAAGTAGCCGCTGGACGAATGGAAGAACGAATTTATAATCGTTCTGTATTAAGGATTCTTACAAAGAAGTAGCTCTCAGTTTTCTAGTCTTTGGGAGTATATACAATTATGTATTGATTCTTTCTTGCTCATACGTCGATCAAGTGCAGTTCTGATCTTAATTTCTGACTCGTCTCGTTGAGCGAATTATAGTACATTAAACTCTACTTGGATGCATTACGTCGGCAATAGATTATGTCATCTAGTGTTTCTATAAACATACCGTAGTAACTAACAAACGAGTGTATACAGCGGGTGGTTAAAAAAAAAATTAGTGTACATGCTTATGTGGTCACACGCCTTATACCTAATTAGATGATATTAATTTAGGTTAGGTTAGTTTGGATTACTATTTCAGCTGTTGTGCCGTCAAGTAGCTTGCCATGTAAATTGACAGTCAATCAACTGAATCATTAAAATTGAGTAAATTTAATTTTTTTATGTATTATATATAGTAACAAGCGATTCCCTGAACACGTCTATGACATGTACAGGCAGAGTTCAACATAGTTGTACCAACAGTTTTTATAAATATCTCAAAAATTAAAACTAAGTGACAATTATTGATCAGATAAAAGTTGTTCACCATCTTAACCTCTATAACATATTTCAAAATTATCGGACTTAGTTTATATATTGTGCAATTTTTACAAATTTTGTTTTTCGTCAAACACTAACAAAAGCACCTTATTTTTTCATATTTCTCCGATCTATATTCTTTTCAGTTATTCTTCCAAATAGGATCCGCCGTGGATCGATATGAGATTTGGAGGGATTAGAGGAGAGACAGAATAGGTATCAAATATAAAATTTTGACTTTAGAAATTTAATAGCTTCTAAGATATTAAATTTGGCTATCTCTTATTTCGTCGCTTGCAGTTAGATGCAAGTGCGACACTATACATATTTAGATTGGATTATAATAAGATATTGCAAACTAACATTAACCGGCTAACAAATTAAAAATTTTATACAGAAAGAGTAAGCTCATTTCCTATGGAATCCCTTATAGATTTTTGTATTGGTAGACTCAAAGATGTATCGCAACTGAAATATTCTACCTTAGCAGAAATGTTCGACGACGACGCGAGAGTTATTATACACCAAAGATATTATATTAGGTGATGGTTATATAATTTCCAACATTTCTTTATTAATATCTTGGAAATTATGAAATTCCCAAAGTTAAAATTTTATATTTAACATCAATTACCCCCCTCCTCTTTTCTCCAAATTACATGTCGGTCGGCTGTCAATCAGCTCATTCAAAAGAATATCCTTTTTTCTTATAATATTAAAATGCAGCCTCTTTTGAAAAAACTGAAAAGAATAAATTTAGAGCACAATTACTAAAATAAATTTTTACTTACGATAAAAATTGTTTTATTTTGCAAAGTCCGATTTATTTTGACTGTATGACATACTGTAACTGTAAGAAAGTTAATAGTGAAATGTTTGTGTTAATTTTAGTTAATTTTATAGTTAATTTTATTTTTATTTAACTTGTGAAGTGCTATTGCAACCTTATTGATCATCTGTGTCTTTTAATATGAACTTTAGTGCACATAAGCAATTTTTGTCATGCTTAATGCAATGATTTATATGGAAAAAGACAAGTGATCAAATGGATATGTATTTGTTGATTACTATTAACTTTTATGATATCCAGAATAATGAAATTGCGTCTGGAGTATTTGTGTATATTTACTGCAATATTAAGCAAAGAAAAATTTTGTTATCCATTAAAATATACTGTTGAAACACTAAAAAAAATCTTAATATAATAAAATCTGTTCATCTGCTATAATTTTATTAGTATAAAAATGATATTTATAAGTGTTAGGTTCATTTTATGTAAATAATTGTAATTATTTGAATTATTAGCAACAGGCAATAAATCAGCAACGTATAAGACAACAAATGCTTGCAATGCAACAACAACAACAACAAGCACAGCAGCAACAACAAGCACAACAGCAGCAACAGCAACAACAGCAAGGTAATGCAGGTGGACAACAACCAACTCCACAATTGGTAACACATTTACAACGACATTTGAGTCAACCACCACAACATTATCAGCATCAACCACCGCCTTATTAGTAATTTAATATGTATATAATTAATTAGTATGTTGTATAATTTACATAAAGTGTGTAAATCTGAATCACAAGAGTTACGTAACTTAATTTACAGTATGAATGTGTAAAGTGTGCCATGGCAGAGGCAATAAAGTGAAAGGAATTTCAGAAAAGCATTAAAAGCTATTTCTTTTGTTTCTACTGTTTTTAACATTAATATTGTGTATACTATACAAAGTAATCTACGGTAATTTTTTAGAAATGTTTTGTAATTCCTGTATTCTCAAATCAAATAAATTAAGATATAAATTCTTCTTTTGTAAGATTAATAATAAATTAGAAATGAATTTATTGAAATTAATAGTAAATTTAGGTATTTAAAATGTTTAAAAAAGACATTTAAAATATTTGTTAAATTATTATGCCCAATTTACCTCTCTTTATCTTCAAGAATAAATATAAATACTAGAGACAAATCAAAATAATCTTGTTGAATAATATAAGAACTGAACTGTGTAATATGAATAATAGCTCAAAAAGAATTTGTGGTGCATCCAAAATGGTTTGCTTGTTTTAAAAATGCACCTGTTATTTACAATGTAAGACTTTTCATACTTGACTTGTATTGTTCGTTTGCATATTGTTATCTATCATACAATAACATTATTTTAGTTAAAACATGACTCCATCTTGTATTATTTCAATGGTGGAACTTGGTTTCCCTGTTTTTTTATGTATACCATAGTAATAGTAAACACAAGTAATTTTTCAAGAAATAATAGTATTCTAATTACTGTTAATGTTGCTAGTTCATGATTCAATTATTTCATAATTCAATTACACTGTTCAATATGAATTTTAATTTACAATATTCATTGCGTAACTATTGTAGAATTTACCTTTCTGGTAGAGCAAACGAAATTGTTCTATCACCTTTAGTTTAAAAAAAATATGAATTTTTTTTAAAAACATACGATTTTTGGTTAAAATGAAGCATTACACAAAAACTAAAGAAATTTGGAAGTTCATTCTTATGTTAAAAATTAGATGAGAGTTTCCCGAGTTTATCGATATACATAATTATATTTATTTATACTTTTGAATAACTGCAATTGGTCATCAAAGTTTAAAAGTAAGCCACCGAGCGTACTTCTTACGTATTATTCTTACATTTTTACAAAAAGTTTTTCATTCAGCACGAATTTGCTATAAGGTAACGTATCCTGTAGACTTTTTTGAAGAAGAAATCATCCAGATAAAATGGAATCATCTTCAATGTTGACAGGACGATAAAATATACATTTGCAACGCGTAAGCTGTGTTTTGTCGTCACGTAGGCATTACTCACTTGTTAGATTGGGCAAAGACGCAATCATACGTACTCGTCACTAATTACAATTATTCAAAAGCATGAATAATTATAATTATGAATATTGAAGAACTCGAGAAACTCTGGCTAACTTTTACCATAAGAATGAACCTCCAAACATTTTTGGGTTTTATATAATCTATCACTTTAGACGAAAATCATGCGTTTTTGAAAAAAACTCATTTTTTTATTATTACTTTTAAATAAAAAATTAGAAAAAAGTACATATTAAAATGGTTTAAAGTACAGTAACTGAATTCTCTCATGATGTAAAATATAATTTTTAAATATAAAAATTCGAAATCTTGGTACAATTTAGTTACTACAATATTACCAAATTTGACGGATAATCTGATTATCAAGTTATGTTAATACATTGGCAAGAAAAGTATATTAAGGATTGACTAACGCTAAAGTTAGCAAGTTATATTACCAAGCCTTGACCTGTTTTTAATGTAAATTTAGTAAAATTATCGGATTTAAAATTTGCCTCCAAAATCCATGCATATGGTAACATAGATGTACTATAATTACTATCTTTAGTGTCGCTGTAACCAAATTGTTTAATGTATTCCACAGAAGTATTAATTAAAAGTTAAAATTAGTGTTATATATATATATTATTATTATTATTTATAATTAAATGATGTAACCCCATACATATAATAATGTAATATATGTGTGCATTAAATGATGTAATGTACATATATAATGTATATATATTTTATATATATATAATTGATGAATATTAAACTCCATTTTATTTGATTAATCATTATATGTTAATATTATTATTTATAATAGAATAAATTTGTTTCTTCATTTTCTAACACGAGTTTCAGTGTACGTTGTATGCATTTGAAAATTACAAATACATACTGAACTATATTTAGTTTTATTCGTATGTTATATGTTACCTCTGAAATTACTTAGATAGTATTATTATTTGCAACAAGTGTTTTGGTATCATTTTAATTATAATTTTCTATTTATTCAATAATTAGTTAAGAAATATAAATTATATTAAAGATTTAAAAAATAAAAGAAATAAAATATAAAAATATAATAAGGTTAGTGTATCGTTTAAAAGCAATGAGTAACATAGAAGACTTTATGACAGATATTTATAACACTTTAGTACAAATAAGATACCCAAAAATTACAACAGCTGTAGCAAAAGATGTAGAATTAACAATTCTCAATGGAGAAAATCGACTTTCATTATTATCTTGGCTTTTGGCTGAACAGTCTCCCTCACTAGCTACAAAGTTAAAAAAGTTAAAAGGCACTGCTTTAGAAGGTTTTACTTGCTATATAATATTAATAATAACTACATAATACTTAATATATTATACGAACATTACTTGGAAGATTAAGATATTATCACTTTCTTTTACAGTAGAGTTATTAAAATCTTATTCTGAAATTGGGATTTGCAGTGATAAGAAGTTATTATTGGTTTGTATCTTATTTAATTTCTTTTACGTTATTTGCATAGAAGAAATTTTAATTGTTGTCTTCAGGGAGATTGTCCATTGGAGGAACAACTTTCAACTTTAAGATTATTATTGGATTTTATTAAATGTGTATTCATTGAGTCTTTTGATACCGATTATAATGAAAAAGAATCCATTGATAACATATTAAATGTATGTAAACAAACATTCAAAGAGTGTTTATATATAATTTGTATACTTATAAATATATTTTATATTAGGTCTATATTAATGAAGATCCAAATACATTTGCATGTACTATTGAACCAAAATTAAATTATTCTGAATCTATTCAATATTTTGATAATTTACAAAAGTATCTAAATGAATATGAAGAATTATCATCTACTTGTAAGTCTGAAGGAGAAGAATACTTAACGGAATATATTTCAGAAGTAATATTATTAAATTATATATTTAAGCTGACATGTAACAGTGATACAACTGTGATTCTATATGAAAAAATTAATCAAAAATGTATAATATCATTTTATTTATAGATTAGACATAACTGTACTTATCTAATATTATAGTATATTACTCACTTGTACATTTTATAAATTAATTTAATAATTTATATTTACGAATATATATTTTGTTTTACTGTGTATTTTTAATTACTAAATACTGTTTTCAAACTTGACTTTTTTTAAAACAGAGTCATATTGTTGAAATAAGAGAATTTTGTTTTCAATTTTCAGTTCATTTTTCCATATAGAATTATTCTTCTTCTTAGTTGTATCACATTTTGTATATTTTATATCTTTTATATCAAAATAATATATGAAATTATAAATTTAAATAAAATATAGGAGACACAAAAACAAAGTAATTTAGTTGAACAAGATTTGTTATTTAATGAAGAGAAAAAGAAATTTATAGAAGAATTTTCATCAATTGAATCATGGTCAACATTTAATGCAGAAAATATGAAGAATAATTTATATTCCATGGATGCTGATATTAGTAATATATATTCAAATTTTTCTTCGTTAACACAGGTTTTGTATTTTTATATTTTTTTCCTTAATGTAATTAATAAATATACTAACATCAATTTATGTACAGTAATCCCTGCTTAATTAACATAGGGATTACATCGAAATTATTATCGAAGGACGTATTTTAAAAATTCCTGGTAATTGTAATTATTTGTTTGCTTCTTGAGTATATTAAATATGAGGGTGAGGAACATTAAATGTAAATAAAATAAGAAAAAATCTTTGACACTTGCTTTATGTTATAGTATGATTTAAATGCATTTAAGTATAACCATATTTAATATCACTTTTATTGAAATCTTCAGCACTTAAATTAAAATAATTTCAACATGAATAAATAATATAAAAATATTATTTGTTTTGTCTTGTCAATTTCAGAAATTATTTGAAATATCTCTGTGTTTATTAAGTTTGGGATACTGTAAACATTAATTATTTATTTTAATGAATATTCATGTGTTTTCTATCTACTATTTTATATTTAATAAAATAAATATATTAAACTTTTTATAACAAATTATTTTTTAGTTTCTACAAGCAAAGGAAGAAATATCAAATGCCAATATACCAAAAGAAATAAATAAGTTAAATACACCATTGAATGAAATTGTTGAAAATAGTGTTACACACACTGAAGGAACTAGAAATTTTTACATGGATATTTATTAATATGTAATATTAATTACTTTAAATACTTCCTAAACTATCCATTTTTAAACTTGTATCTTTTGTACTTTCATAAAAATAAAAGCAGTTGTAGGTATTAACAAACAGTAATTTATTTAAAAACCTTTTATATATTTATTAGAAACACATGACAATAATTTTATGATCTAGGTCGCTCTTTCTTTTCTTTATACAGTGCAAGCAATGAAACATTAGCAACTTTTACTACTTTAAATCGAACTCCTGGAATATCACCTACTGCATGACCTTTACGACCAAATCCTGCAACCAAAACTTCATCGTTTTCCTCAATATTGTTCAAGCAACCGTCTCTAGGTACAAAAGCTGTAATTTTTTTGCCATTTTTAATTAATTGTACTCGTACACATTTACGAATAGCAGAATTCGGTTGTTTAGCTTCTACACCACTAAAAAGATTAATTTATTCGATTAAAAATACAATTAAAAATAATTAAACAAAAATAATAATATAATGATACATACACTTTTTCTAAAACAATACCCTTAGCATGAGAAGCACCACCAAATGGATTGGCCTTCCACCTTGTTCCCAAATGAGCTTTTTTATAGTCTTTATCGTTCCAGCGTTGATCACGCCTATGGTTTACATGCTTACGTGCAGTACGAAGACCACGAGGTTTACCTGCAAATTAGAAACTTAGGTTATGTATTGCACTTATTTAACATCTCATTTTTATTTGATTTTAATTTGTTACTTGTATTTAGCTATCAATTGTGATTTTATTAATTATGATAATTATGAATTGTAAAGTTAGAAATAAGACATTAGTAGTAATTCTATTGTAAGTTCAAATTTTTGCATTCAATATACATATGCTACCACGCTATTTTTATCATAATTTTAGATAAGGTATTTAAGAATTTCCTATTAAATACTTAAAAATATTATAACCGCGAGTATTGAATAATTGATGAAAATGACATATGTTTAACAACTTAAATATTACACTTTTAAAAACAATGGAATTTTAACATCAAACACTTACCCATCTTGCTCGGTGTACTATATAACCGGAAGAGATCTAACTTTCATTAACGGAAATATGAACTTAAATTTTACCGCTACATTTAAGTATATTTTATATTTATTAATAAAATATATATTTTTTCTGTCTAATGATTTTGTTTTATTAAATCATTCTATTTTACTAATGAATTCTAATTATAAATAATATTTTATTAATATGTTTTTTCTGTTTTATACTTAAATAAATGTGCAGAAAAAAAATATGCATTGTATACAAATATTAATAAATACAAATTTTATTTCACGTATTTATTGTTTAAAATATTCTGCATCAAAAATGTTATCAATGATCTTAAGTGGCAGGTAATGGTTACAGGTAACAGAACTTAAATTTAGCAAAAAATATTATGTATTATCAAACTAGAATATATTTTATTTGATTCTGAAAAATTTATTGTATTATATCTTTATGATAGAAATACGAATAAATAATTTATTTAAATTTTATAAAATTTATTAATGTATATGTAAAAATTAAAACCATAAAAGCTTCTAATTGCAAAAGAAGTGTTTTTACACTTTTAGAACTTCATATGTATTATTAGTTTAAATACATATAGAAAATAAAATTTAAAACAATGCAAAAATTAAATGATTATAACAGTAAATCAATTGCATTCTTTTTACAAAGTATAAAATTTTATTGTTTTGATCCTTAATGAGTACATAATTAAATAATATTGTTAAGTTTATTTATGAATAGTATTACTTATAAAATTTAAATGTCAAAATGTAAAATACTGTACTTTTTTGTAAAATATTTTTGCTACGTCATACAAACAAATTACTTTTAAATAGTAGTAATTGCACTTTTGTACAGAAATAGTCATAAAGTGTTACTATTGATGGTACTGACAATATAGATATAACAATATTGATGTTGATATCAGTGTTGCTTTATTAATCTGTTTGAACAAAAATATAGAATTTCAATAACATAAAATTGCACAATAAAATTACAAAAATATAATTTAAATGTACCTTGGTTTTTTTACAAACTTATTATTTTCGTCGTTACTTTCTTCTTCTCCTTTATAATCCACAAATAATGTACGATTCGTCTAAAAATAAAAGATAATTGTATAATAATCATATACAACTCACAGCATATTTTTGATTGATTATCATTATAATAAATTGCAAACTTACATTCTTTGTATCCCTATTTTGACAATGTTCTACAGTACATTTACAGTTATCATTACATATAATTTTATTTTTACGACATTTACATATACGTGTAGCACAATTCGTATTACAATAACATTTTATATCTCCATTTGATGTTCGTTTCACTGGCATATGTTCACGTGATGAATTCTTTGTTGTATTCTAAAAATGAAAATATTAAATATTGTTATCAAGAATTAATAAAATTAATTAATATAACAAATAATAAAACAAAATTAATATGTAATACAACATTCATTTGTGCTTAATTACAATGAATTACCAAAAGACTTCGTATACGATTGTAAAGTGGTGTTTGTGTCCAATCTGGATCTTTTTCAATGTCATCCTCTTCAATGATACTATCATCTTCAAAATAAATATCTTCCTTCACGACTTCATTTACTGTTGGTTTTACATTTTCCTTTTTTTTATTTTTACCTGAAAGCTGAAAAATTTATAGAACAATTCATAATATTTAAAATTGAAAATATTATAACATTAAAAATATTAATAACAAAATTAAGAATGTATATTAACTTTTTGTTCTAGCACTTGGCATTTCTGTTTATAAAGTTGCAATTCTTCATTTAATTTGCTATTATCCTCATCATATTCTTTAATACTATGTGTATCATTTAATATAAGTTGTTGTGACATACGTTTTTCTTTCTCTCTGACTCGGTATTCTTTCAATTGTGCTTGCAGAAGTTCAAACTTTTCCTAAAATTATGTTTATTATTATAAATACAATAAAAGTTTTAATTTAATTAAAAGATCATTATAAAGAATATTCAAATTTAAATGATCATTTTTTAATTTATTTTGACATATTCAAGAAAAATATTAGATAAAGAATTCAGTTTTTGTATGTATGGTTTATTATATTTTTACAAGTTATAAATAAAATTTGAAATAGTTATTTTTAACGGCGCCATGAAAATTACGAACATCTATAATTTTATCAATCTGATGAATTTCAGTTTTTTAATATTTTTTATAATTTCAAATTGTAAGAAAATTTAAAAATCTAAAAATCGAATCTTTGAATCTTTTAAATTAGACATACTATATAGCTTAAACATACATACCAGAAGTTTATTGTATTCGAATTCCTTTACACATTGTTTTCTTCTATCCTCTGCAGTATATTTAAATAACAATTTAAAAGCAATTTTTGCTTGTTCCATTGTATGTATTTTTTGCCATCTTGTATTTGCTCTATTTTCTAAATAATTAAATATTTATAGATGCAAGTATCTACTTATACCATTATCTTATTATTCTTTGTAAAAATAAGCTTAGTAGATTAATATGTATATCATAAATATAAAATATGCAATTCTTACCTTGGTCAGATTCAACTATTTTTTGTTGAAGATCAGTAATTTGTGTATTGCGTAAATCTAATAATTCACTAAGTTCAGTAATTTTTGTTTCATTTACATCATTACTATTTTGCAATTTCTTTAACATAGAAGCTAATGATGCTCTATTCTGCATTAATTTTTCAAGAGAATATTCTGCATCAACAGTGCTCACTAATATTTCTATTTCTTGATTCAGCCAATTTCGAATTTTATCAGTATCAGTATTCATTTTTCCTTTTGCTATCATTACTCTTTTTTGCAGATCAAGAGCTTCCTAAATGTGAAATAAAAAATAAAATTAATTAATTAATTAAAGTATTACAACAAAGAGTATACTTAATTCATTACTTTTAATCTTTTATTAACAGCAAAAGCTTCTTCCATTTTTCTTTTAAACACAGTTTCCTGTTTACTATGCCACATTTTTAAACGTGTTACTTCATTTATTTGTTTCCTGTTTTGATCTTTTAATCTGTTTACTTCTTTTTCCTTTGATTCTCTCCATTTTGTAAATTTATCAGATTCAGTGCGCATTTGTCTAATTAATTTTACTCTTGTTTGTTTTAGTAACTGCATTTCATTTGATAGATTTTTTATTTGTTGATCTTGTTTCTCTTTCATTTTGACTATTTTATCTTGATCTGTTATTTTTCGTCTTAATTCTGCTATTTTTTTCTCTAATTCTTGTACTTTCTTACGCCTAGTTTCTGCCAATCTGCAAAATACATAAAGTAGAAAGAAGAAAAAGTAAAGAAAAAAAGGAGAGAAAAACTAAGCTAATAATTGACACAATTGAACAAGAATAAATTATCATTTTCTTTTTATATAATTAAACTTCTTACTTTGTGCTAACATTATTCGTTTGTGCATTTTGTAGCGCTTGTAAAAGTTCTTCTCTTTCTGTTTGTAGTGTCTTTATTTCCTGCTCCATTTCTTGTATTTCTTTAGAATAATCAATGATTTGAGATGAGTTCTTTAAAAGCTGACATATAAGACTCTCCTTAATAGCAAGCTCCTTATTGATATTTTGTACTTCATCGTGCCTTTTAGCTTGAAGTAATGTATGTTCTTCTTGTTTCTCATCAAAATCATCTAAACTATTTGGAGAACATATATCATCTATAGATGTATGTTCTGTGTCTTCTTCATGATTGATTGTAAATGTATTTGCATTAATAGATGATATTGCACAGTTTATAAGTGCTTCTGATGTTTTCTTCTGACTGTTTTGAATATCTGTTTATTATAAATAAACATATTTTAAATACTTCATATTAACATTTTTTCTATACATTATTGTGGGGTTGCGAGCAGTGAAGGACTCTAGCAAGGAAATAATAAACAGCGGCATCAGTTTCGACTTAGGCGTTTAGGACGATGTCTGGAGTGCGTGCGTACGGATGGGTGCCGCATGCAAGGATTGTACGGATGAGATATTTATGACTGGGTCAAGTGTAAGCAATGACTGAAAGTCTAATGCACCCGAGTGTCTGAAGTACCTGGCCCACCAAGGGCGAGATTGCGTGGGAAATGAGTGATCAACGAAGAGAGCTTGTGTATGAAGAGAGAGAGTGTTAGACTTTAAATAAGGGTGCAAGGGCGCAGAAGGCAGAAATCAAAATGTGTGTAGTCGAGACATAGTGAATAGAGAATCGTGTGTTTGAGAGTTAGAATTGAGAGAAACTTAGTGTAATATTTTAGTTAAATAAACCTGTTTTGTTATTAAAAAGGAGTTGTTGTTTGTTAGACGTGCAGATCTCTGTCTACATAGCACTAATTTAGCAAAAAATCCTACATTATATATCAAATAAATAATATAACAATGAACCGAATTAAAATTTTAATTAAGTGAACAAAAACATTGAGAAATTACTCAAGAACGGCAAAAGTAAGAAAAAATAGAACTGTTAAAAATTTAATAATGATACTATTCTTTTCTAGTTAAATATTTTGATATTTGTTATGAATGTAATAATTAACACAGAATATAAAAAAAAAAAAATTATTTTACGTACCAAGAATTTTAAAATATAATGCTTCTAATCTTGTACAATGCTCTTTATGTTTATCAGGATTTTTATAAAAATCATCTAAAAGTTCTTTACATTCTTTTAATATCTTCGTCATATCAGTTTGAATATTTTCTCTAGCTTGTTCAGCTAATTCCACCTTCTCATGCATAACTACAGCTTCAATTAAATTACTATTTAATTTTTCTGTTAAATCCCTTATCTTTTTTTGCAAACATTGATTTTTTTCTTCAAGTTCTTGATGTTCAAGCGGACAAGAAGTTTTAATTTCATTATCTATTAAGGCAAGTTTTAATTCTTGTACTAATTTATTTAATCGATTTATTTCAGAAACTTTTGGATCCTGATTTATCACAGGTTTGTTCTTTATTTTACATGCTCTGTCTGCATATCTCAATGTACTTAAAGTTTCATCTAAATTATAATCTAAAAATAGATATAATAAAACAAATTATTTTGAATATTAATATTGAAAGTAAAACAACATAGATTTTATATGTGTAATAACCTGCTGGACTAACACAAGCTATCATTAGCGTTATGGAATTACCGCCAAGAGAATCTTGCAATAACCTTGTGAGTTTACTATCTCTATAACCAACATATGTTGTAGGACCACCTTCTCCTAATTGAGATATGACATTTCCTAATGCTAATAAACCTTTATTTATATTAACTCCTTCCTTAAACCTTTCACCAGTTGCTTGTGTCTTTTTACTACGTTCAGATCCAGCTAAATCTACTAAATGAAATTTCGCCGTTGTTGCTGTATTGCTAAATTATATTAATAAACAAGAATAAAACAGTAAAATATATTATAAATATAAAAATCTGAATCTTATTTCATAATTTCCAAACACTTTGCTTACAGATCATTTTTTTCTTGTTGATATATGCATACAGTGAATATTGCATGACTTCGACTACTGTATGCATTCATTGCAGTAGCACCTGTTACACGCCCTAAAGATCCTTGTGTTAAACAGTTCAATGCTTCTTTTGCACTTGTAACTTCTTTTTCAACGAGTCCAGAAATCTTTATGTTTTTACCATCATCTCTGATATCAACAATAGACTGATTTCGTTGTTTATCAGTTAGCAAATCATATAATTGTTCTTGATAAAGTTCCATAAATGAAACTGTTACTTTAAAACTCCAATTTTCTTTTGATGAAATTATATCAAATATATCATGCACTGCTCGTGGTATAACACCCATATCATCTTCTTCAGTGTAATTTGTACCCATTGAATGAGTTTTACCACTTCCTGTTTGTCCATAAGCTAATATAGTAACATTATAGCCTGCAAAATAAAGGTATATAATTATTTGTTGCATAATTTGCTAAAATAGCATGTACTTACAATATTTTATAGAATTACATGATTTAATATGATTTTACCTTCAAAAATATTTTTTATCATCCCTTTAATAGCAGTATTATAAAATTCCTCTTGAGTAACAACAGGGGGAAATACATAATTAAATGTAAAAGATTTAGCAGTATTACATATAACTATTTGTGGTTCACCAGAAACAACATCTAAACAAGTTTGACAACCTCGTTCAATTTCAGTTTTCACTAATGGACGAATACGAACAGCAACTTTAACTGAATCTTCATTCATCTAGAATAAAAAATTCCATTTTTTAAAATATATAATTGGGTTATACAATTGGTTATACAAACTGCAGCAAAATATACTGTTAGATGTTTTGAAATTTCATTTACAACATACAAAAGTTGCTTTATATATTAAAATAAATAATATATAGTAGCATAATTAACTACAATTAAACACACACATTCTTTAGGTTATTTATATAAGAAAATATACGATGAACATATCTTGCTGGTCCCTAACTGACAGACCTTGGCGGTCATCGGTTCTCATTGGCCACTGACAAACGTATTGTTCTATAAACGATCGAGAGTAAAGAGCATCAAAAGGACGAAGTCTTTACACATGAAAAATCAGAGGAGTTCTTAAGAGACATTTGAGCAGTTAAGTACAGGCTATAGTGTGAGATAAATCTTTTTCGAGACAAGACAACATTTAATATACATGATATCTGGTAATAGGTGATACAAGTAAATAAGAGGTGACTTGATATTTAAAAATAAGTCATAAAGTACAAATAAAATGTTTTTCTTTCAAAATTTTCAATTTACAATGCTTTGTTTTCAAGAAGAATGAGTTTAAAAATTTATGGAGTATGTATAAATATAGTCAAATTTCAATCTTATAAATTTTAGTGTAAACTATTTTTCCTTTTGAATGTCTTAAAAGACAGTAATATTCTTTTATTACGATTCATTCAGTCTATCATTTGATCTACTTAATATAGATATAGAAATACTAGAAATGTATATAAACATGAATAGATACAAACAATAGTAAAATTCATAGCATTACAACTTGAATAAAATAATGTGTACCCTATGAATGTTGAACTTCGATTTTTTTAATAAACTGTCCTGATTGTACTACCAGTACAATCAGGTAATGTGTATATAATATAGTAATACATTTTTACCAAGTATATTTTTACAATGATATAAGGTTTTCAAATCAACTTATCATCTGTTGTATTAACAATATGGTAATAAGGAAAAAATATTTATAATATATAATATATTGGGTCTTTCATGCAACTGAGTGTGGCTATAGCTCTGAAACAATAAAAGATAGAAAAAAATTTATGAAACAAAATTAAATTTGTTGAATGATTTGATGAATACTTGTTGTATGTATCTACTCCAAACAGAGAGACATTCAGAAGATTTGAAGATCACCTTTATTTTTTTAAAAAATTGTACATTTTTTTTTATACTAGCAATATTATACCATGGTACAGGTGCATGTTTTCATTCTTCACAAAAATATATTGGAGCACTTAAATTAAAAATTCATTAATTTAGATTGAAAATTTATAAGTTACTTAGAAAATAAACACTTGATCATATTACTTATGTTGCTGTATATTTGCATCTATCTATTTATTTAAATATTTATTTATTTTATTTATTTATTTATACCTCATTATTTAAGTAATTTAAGGGCCCTTTTCAATTATATCCTGTTAGAGATTTTTAAAGTTCAAACATATTTTTCTAACTCTAGATGTAATATTAAAACAACAGAGATAAAATATCCTTTAAATTAATTTTGAATGTGAATGAATATTGAATATCCTAATATGTTTTTAGCGAAAATAAGATGTATTTGTTGGCATATCAAAAAATGTATTGTTCTATCTAGAAAAATAGGGGTGACTTGAAATTTTTTAAATGTTTCCACTTTTGGACTAGCCATACTACCATGTTAGTTCACACCCTCTATCATTTTATAGTTATAGTTGTGCCCAGTTGTCAGAAATACCTATATATAGCGTCTTTATTAACATTATGCTTCCATATATCTAACTTTTAATAGTTATATTTTCTTTTTTAAATAAATTATTACGTCAAAGCTTAAATCTGCATAAGATACATCATCTAATTTTGTTATACTTGAAATATTTCTATTATATTTAAAATTTCACAGCATTATTTTTTATAGAAACTACAAAATTTTCTAGAAGTTAATAGTAATAATAATATTATATTACATATATTAATGAAATAAAAAAATTATTTTTGATAAAGATATAATACTTTGTATGAAAATTATATTACAAATAGTAATTTCAATATAATAATGTATGTCAATAACACTTTGCAATTGGTTGGAATTTTTAAAGAATTTTGAATACCTGTTATACTACCTTAATACTCTTAAACACGTGATACATAGTAATAGTAATACTTACTATTATTGAATCAATTTTATTAATATAAAATAAATTTTATAAGCTAACAAACATATTTTTTCTGTATATTTTATGATTATAAAATCAAAAATGTATCATTCTGCTAAAAAAATGAAGATGATTTTGAAAACCTAAAATTTATCATAATTAAACATATTTCATATACTAAGTATACAAACCTTTTATAACCATAAAAATTTTAAGTTAGTTTTGTATTATATTTTTTTATGTAGAATATTCATTTGCAACAGTTGCCGAATTCATTCTGTACATAAGCTTTAAACGAAAATGTGTCAGAAAATAATAATCAGTCTTTACTTACTTTTAGGTTCTTTATTATAAAACAACTAAGAATCCGTATTGACTATACTTTATTATACAATAACAGTAGTAATAAACACAAAAAACGAATAGAGGCAGACAAATTTACAACCGATGTATTTCAAATTTATGGTCGCATGAAGTATACATATATGTGTGTGATATTCGACTGGTGAAACTATCAAGTCTCCTGATTGGTCAATATGATTCATAATGCTACGAATCTCCTATAAGTTTGATTAGAGTTAATGATATATAGTATTTTATTAATAAAGCAAAAGTTAAAAAAACGTGCATAAGAAATTTAAATGAAAAGAAAAAGTGACTTATTTGCTTAAAAAGTCGTGGTCTATTTTTTCTATTTTTCTTAATTTATGAATTATCGCACATGTTTTTATAGTTTCATTAACATTTTTAATAAAGGTATAAAAAGCAATATGCATGTGTGAGTCTGACATTAAGATTTATAGCTTAAAATTATCGTATATTTATAAGTATAATTTTGTATTATTATATAATAATATCAATTATACGTATATAATTAACGTATAATTAAAAATTACAAAATTATACATCATTATTATAACATTTTTATAGTATAAAGGTATATAATCTTAATTACACAATTGGAAAGCAGCTGCATTAAGAAAGTTGCTCATTTTTTATTTTCAGGATTATAGATGAAATTGACATGAATGAATTTTATAAAAAGTGAATAAAGTGTTAATTCTTATAATAATTAACAATAGCAATGAATATCCTGTGATTATAATATTATGTGACTTGTGTGTTTTATAAAATCAATTGACACTATTCTGTTATTTTTTAATTGCCTACAATATGGCTTTTAGATCATTCTTACATTTAGGTGACAATGTCTGTAAATGGTAAGATAAATCTTTGTATATCAAGTTCTTGCATATTTTCACAATTTCAAATTACGTAATTATATCCATGTAATATCTTTTTTAGTGTTTTCACCACAATACAGCTAAAACCTAAATTACATATAGTTAAAGGATATAAACAAATTAGGAACTTTCACAAATTTATAAGCAAAACAAAGGTATCACAAAAATCTCCATCAAGTACCATTTTTAGAAAGCAATCGCAAAATGTTCCCAATTTATGGAAACCATTTATATTTACTATTGCGGTAAAGGATTAACAAAATAATAATTTAGTAAATATATAATAATAGCCACTAAGATTTTATTTATATTATTTTAATTTAAGTGTAATCTATCGTTTTAATATCATAAATTGATCTATTTTTATTTATATAGTTTAGTTCAACAACATTTATTGCTGCTATTATTTGGGAATATGAGCATGTGAGGGAAAATACTTATAATATAATCAGAAGTTACACGCAATGGAGAATACATGTTTGTATATTGAAAGTCATATATATATAAAATTTTCATTAAAATTTTATTAGTATATTAAATTAATTTAGAAAACAGGATGGAGATATCAAATGGAAAATTGGTGGAAAAGTTTATCAGAAGGAGAAAAAATATTTATTCCTATATGCTTCTTAAATGTACTAGTATTTTCAGCATGGCATATAGCTGTATTTCGACCAATAATGTATAAATATTTTTCCAGTAATCCTACATCTAGTAAGAAAGTTCATATTTTTAAAAATATTTATTATAATAAACTATTATAATGAAGGGCATTCAATTCTATGTTTTTTATATAGGTCGATGTTGGTCAATGCTATTCTCAACATTTTCTCATTATTCTTTTTTTCACTTAATCATCAACATGTATGTATTATATGATTTTTGTAAACTAGCTGTGAGAGAACTGGGCAGAGAACAATTTGTGGCACTTTATTTAGTTAGTGGAGTAGTGGCTAGTTTTACAAGTTATTTCTATAAAGCAATAGTTGGTGTAAAACATCCTTCTTTAGGAGCTGTGAGTATGCATTAAAACTTGTATATAGTGTATAAAGTTTCAATATAAGTATTATTTGATATGAAATAATATCCACATTAATAATTACAACATAGTCTGGAGCAATAATGGGAGTCCTTGGATATGTGTGTAGTCAGTTTCCAAATCTGTATCTCTCTATTGTTTTTCTTCCTCTTTTGAAATTTACATCAGGCACGGTACGTTTTATTTTAATTATATAAGATTTACATTTTTCAAATTATATATAAAGTATATATAGTCTTTAATAAAAATACTTATGATTAGGCAATTAAGGTTGTAATGGGACTGGATACCTTAGGATGTTTAATGCGTTGGCAACGTCTTGACCATGCAGCACATTTGGGTGGAATGTTATTTGGAATGTAAGCATGTTTACAAAAAAATTTTAGAGACTTTTATATTTTTTCTTTTTCTTTTTGTATAATAGATTTTGGCAAGCATGGGGTAATGCCAATATATGGCAGAAACGTGAACCGGTATTAGTATTTTGGCATCAGTTCCGTGAACCACCAAGTTCTTAATAATATTCTTTTGTTATCAAATTGATACTAATATACTCTACATTTTTAAGTTTATGGAAAAGTGTACAAATTATAAAAAGTGGAATTATATAAAAAAGAACTTGAATTTATTTTTAATTAATGTTTTAATCAATATTTAATTATAATTAGTGATAAAGTTATAAAAATTTAAGAAGTGACAAGAATAGAATAAGTGTTTCATAACTAACATATTTAATTAAAATGTTATCTAGTTAAAAAATTATATTAAATGTTACTTTTTATATATATTTTTTTTTATTGTAATATATATTTTTATTACATAAAAGAACATTATTTTCTGATACCAAAAAAGTTAAAAAAGGATAAAGAACGTACATATATTGTATTAAGATTTAAGATATTTTACATGATGCTTAATGTGATCTTCAATGAATGTAGATATAAAAAAATAACTATGATCATAGCCTTCTTGAAACCTAAGAACTAATGATAATCCAGCATCTTTTGCAGCAGAGAGCAAATTTTCTGGCAGCAACTGATCATCTTTTAAAAACTTATCTTCTTTTCCCTAAAGTTATACATTCATTTATTATAAGTTTTTATTTTAACTTTTGTCATAATGTCATACCTGATCAACTAAAATATCCAAAGGAGGTCCATTGTACTTTTTAGCTAGTTCTGTCGCATCCCAATCTTTCCATGCAACATTAGTTTCTGTTCCACCTAAATAACCAGAGAAAGCTTTTTTCCCCCATGGACATGAAATTGGATTACTTATAGGTGCAAAAGCAGATACTGTTTTATATAAACCAGGATTTTTTAAAGCACATATTAAGGCTCCATGTCCACCCATGCTAACAATAAAAATGTTTGCATGAACTAAAGTATCTCAAATAATTAATTATTAAATAATTGGGCTTCATAATGCTCAAGTAATACAAATTTAATTTAATTGAAGTTATTTAAAATAAATGAATAAATTATAATAAATAATTTTTACTAATTTTAAATATGTAGTTTACTTAAAAATTACATTACCTTTTTTGAATAAATTTGATTAGTACAGAATTTAGAATGAAAACATGCAAAAATTATCATCATTAAAAGTCAGTGAAATAAATTTTATTTTACTTAAATAATTAACTATTGTTTTACCTATGACCCATAATGGATTGTTTCTCTGGTAAAACAGGAAATTTTTCATTAATCAAAGCTGGTAGCTCTTTAGTAACATAACTATACATTCTATAATTTTTCTTCCATGGCTCATTTGTTGCATCAACATAAAAACCAGCACCAGTTCCAAAGTCCCAATCATCATCTTCTCCAGGTATATTAAGATTACGAGGACTTGTATCAGGTGCAACTAAGACTATTCCTTGTTCAGAAGCATATTTTTGTGCACCTGCTTTCTGTATAAAATTAGCTTCTGTACATGTTAAACCAGATAACCAATAAATAACAGGTACAGATCCTTCTTCTATTTGTGGTGGAAGGAAAATTCCTATATTCATTTTACATCCCAATTCATAGCTATATAATACAAAATTTTTGAAATACTGTTGCACATTTTAATAATATAAATAAAATTACAATACCTCTCGTGAGAATAGACTTTTTGCCATCCACCAAAAACTTTATTGCTAGAAATTTCGATAATATCTGGCATCTGAAAATATTTTTCATGATTAAATTTAGTTAAATATTTATTTTTCGATTATTTCTTATGTTGTTTGAATACTACTATTTTTAATATTCTTAAAGGGTTAGAAACAGTTAATAAAAAATTTTTATAATTTGGTATATGTGAAGTTTTATATCATAAAAGATAAAAAAGAAAAATTAATTTCATTAAATTAACTAATTTTTTAATCATTTTTTAATTTAATGAGATACTTAATATAAAAATAGATGTTATTTTGTATAACATACCTTGTATCGTGAAAAATTACGTATAATATGTACGATTTCCTATGGACTTTGAGTAGTTATGTAGCTCGTGGTTTAATGAAAATATCAGTTATACGTTATGAAATAAATTGATAATAGTTTATCGAATGATTCACATACGTGAAATTTGTGTTATGAACGATTTATGGATTATTTAAGTAAGAAAAATTAATGTAACCTCAAAATAATTAACCAATTTTAATACATATTAAATAGATTTATTTTAGTTTTCTTTTTAAAAATTCAATTTTGATAATAAGTAAGTTTATTAAAATTTTAATTATTTTTTAAAAATCAATTACGGTTCTTATCTTGTACATTATTCGTAGTAAATATATATAATTAGAAATAAGTTAATATACAATATCTAGAAAATTATATCAAATATGTTTCTTCTTTAATTATTTTTGCATAACAACTTTCACGTACAGTTGTTTGGGCTTTATATTCTTTCATCATATGTTTCTCACGGGGATAACTAAAATATAATAGTTTAAGGTTAATAAATTATATATGCATATATTCAAATGTGTGTATGGTGGTGAGTGTGATATGTGTGCGTGCGTGCATGTGTGCGTGCGCGCGCGTGTATATATGTGTCTTTAAACATACTTTCAAATTCTGGTTCTATATTGACTATATGTCCAATACTGCCCTTAGATGATCCATAAGTACTTTCACGATTTGTTCTTTTTGACAAACATTCTGATAAATTTGTATTACTACGAGATTTGTTTGATTCTGGTGATTGATTAAATAAAGTTATAGATGGTAATACTATATTCTGGACTGCCAATAATTTTTTAATATAAGATTCAACTTCTATATGATGGACTGTAAAATCTGCAATATCTTGCAAAACAATAGAATTTTGTTCTTGAAGTTCACGCAGTTCTGTTTCTTTCTATTAAATGTAAATAAATTAAAATTAGTTTATAAAACATATTTTATAATTGTAGTAAAATATATTGGGTAGTTTACAAACTTCTTGTATGAGCAAAGTTTTATCTTCTGTAGTTTCAAACAATTGATGAATACTTTTTTTAGCAATCTGTAAACTTCTATTAGCTCTTGATATTTTTTGTTTTTGTTCATGAATTTGATGTGTTAGATCAGTTAAATATTGGTTTTTATTTTCTTTGTATTCTTGAGTTTCTTCTATATCTTTAAGTATTTGCACATAGTCAGTTTGTATTTTCTGTTGAAATTATTTTATTTTAGTATTGAAACTTTGTATCTTTAAAATTGTAATTAAATTAAATATGTAATAGAATACCTGCATATTTTCAGTTAAAGTTTGCAATTCTTGCTTTTTTTCCTTTAAATTGTGTTCTGTATAGTGTAGTTGTTCATCTAATTTTTTATGTTCTTCCACTTCTGGTTTATTTTGATCATCTATAGTTAAAGTTACTTTGTATTTGTCATTACAGACATTTATTACTCGTAATGTATTTTCCATAGCTTGTATTTCTTCTTCAGTTTTTCTGATTGTTTCATCTAATTTATCACCTTGTTCTTGTAAAAGGTATTTTTCTTGTGCATTTTGAATTTTGATATGTGTAGTACTTATTGGAGTACCATCGGGATTAGTACCTAACAAAGCTGTGGAGTTGTCATACCTTGCTTGTAATTGTTTTATTCGTATTTTTCTCTCAGCAATAGCATTTCTGAACTCTGAACATTCACCATCAGCAATTCTTTTTTGAATAATTAGAGATTCCTTTTGCACTGCAATTTCTACTTTTCGTTCCCGCATTGCCTAAACAAACAATTTTACAGTTAATTTAACATTTTAAACTGTAAACAATTTAATATCTTTATTATTATAACAAATATTATTTCATGAAAAACTTACTGCTTCTAATTCAAGTCTATATCTTTCTAAATCATAAACATTATTCCCTATATTAGATATTATTTTCTCCATTTGGGATACTTTAAGCCGTAACATGCTTTCTTCTACTTGTTTCTCCTCATATCGATTTTGAGCAGCTTTTAGTTGTTTTTCTCCCGCATTCATGAGAAGAACAAGATCTTGCCTTTTATTTCGTAAGTACTCTAATTCATTGTTGTCGCTTGCTAAACTGTTTGATATTTTTCTCATATTATCCTATAGAATTAAAAAATAGATTCAGCTCATATGTTTTAATAAATAAAATGTTCTAAAACAACATACTTCTAAAGTTGTTATCTGTTTCTGTAATAATTTAGAAACTTTCAATTTCTCATCTAAGGTAGTTTGAAGTTCTTCAATCTTTTGTTGTTTCTTCTCTGCTACAGACTTATTATATTCATGACCTCTTAATCTGTCCAATTTCATCTCAGATTTTCTGACTTCAAATTCTACTTGATACCATACTTCCTTCTTATTCTCTAAAGTTTGTTCTTCTTTAATATATAATTTATCTAAATATTCACATTTTTTAGTTTCCTTTTCATATTGCATCTTTAAAACTTTATTTTCATTTTCTAAGTCTTTTATTTGATTTATAATATGTAAATTTGCCATTTGTAATCGATTCATTTCTTTGGACATTTTGGATTTTTTTTTCTCCTGTTCCTATATTATTTCAACATTATTTTTCGTTACTTAATAATTATTATTTATGTATATATACCTGAATCATATCCTCCAGTTCTTTTGCCTTTCCTTCAATGTTTACTTTTTGCTTATTAATGTCTTGTAATTTTGTAGTTAAATCAGTTATTTGTTTATTTACTTTTTCTATTTTTGTATTTTTAATTTGAATTTGTAATTTCTTATGTTTTATATCTGCTCTTACTTGCTGTACATGTTGAGTTAATTCCTTCATAATATTTTTTTGTATCAGGCACTAAAATTTTTAATAAAAACAGAGATTCTGAAGAAAAATAACTTTAAAAGTACTTTTATTAATTATATTTCTTCTATTTGTAAGCTTACTTGATTTTCGTATGTATTAATCATTTCCTTCATCTTATTCTGTTCTTCTTTCATCATAGTAAGCTCTTTATCTAATTTTTTAATCGAATCTTGAACTTGCTTATTATTCTCAATTTGTTCCTTCCAAAATTTTTCTGTTTCTTGCAATATTTTTTTTTTATCTTTAGAAATTTCGTGTAGTGCTTCAGTTTCCTATGCAAAATAATTGAGTACAATTACAATATTAGTTAATAAAATCAAACTTGAACAAAAGCTAACAAATATTAAGAACTAGAAATATTTAAATTTTATTAAACTTGAAAATGAGTTACTTTTGCTTTTTGAATTCCTACAAAAAGTTTAAAAATAATGAATTAGTCAAGCATTAAATAATGAGAGCTAATGAAAAGAACATTTTTTGTCTATATGTATACATCGTCGATCTCATTTTGTTAATTACTAATAAAGCTTTAGAAATGAAAATGAGTAACACTTATTGAATGACAACCCGCCACACGTGAAACAATAACGTTTCACGTAAGAAACTATATTACTATATTAGTAATATGGTAAGACTACCGTGCTTGCATTTAATATATTCATAGTCGGTAATTTTTTTACCTTTTTTTTTGTTAGAAATTTTTAATGTTAAAAACCGGTTAAAATAAAAAAAAATTCGAAAGTTGGTTGCTGTTGACTTCTTTCACTGGGAGAAAGATTATAAAATTTGTTTTAAAATATCAGGCTTGACAAAAATTGACAAAATTACAAATTACATAAATTCATCTTAGCAGTAACCAGAAAGAAAATCACAAATGACATGAATTTACGTCAGCGACTATGAATGTATTAATATAATTTTCCATACCAAATAATATACAATTTATTATTTAAATTTTGATTAAGTGCGTCTGCATGAAAACGGGTAATATACGGTAAATTACTCGTTATTTGCCTTTTAAAATCTTCGAAACCTTAAACTTAATATTTTTTTACAACTTCTGACAAATGGAACAAGATCAGCAAAATTTTTATTAAAGAGATGTTGTTTTCCATTATTTACTTGTTATATTATTTTATATAATGCGTTGTTAAATATAAAAGGATGGAATATTTGATCATACTTGAATAACTTTTTTAATATCATCATTTCTTTGCTGTAACATGATTACACTTTCTTTCCATTGATTAAATATTTGACGATATTCTATTAATGCTTGATCATACAATGTGGATATTCGACTAAAAATAATCTCCATTTCTCGTGCTTCATTTGTTGCTTTAGTAATTGTATCCCGATATGTTTGTAATTCGTTACTAAGTTTCTGTCGTTTTAATTCCAGTTCCTAAGTTACACAAGAATGAAATAGAAAGAGAAAATTTATAAATATATTATACAATTGATATTTCATTTTTAATTCTATTTACTTTTCTTTTACCTTATATTCTTTTAAATCTTCTTTCATATATTGTTCCACTAATTCGTTATTATCCTCATTTTCATTCAATATTTCCTCCCACTCTCGCAAAGCTTTTTCATCATATTTAAGTGTCTTTTTTGTGGTTTCTATATTTTTTGTCATTTTCTGTAATTCCTTTTCAATATTTAATACCATCTCATTTACTTCTTTCCATTCTTTTTGAAAATTCCGCGCTTCTTGCCGAAGACTCGATTCAGTGTTACAACTCAATCGGTAATGGTGATCTTCAGTTTTTAGTTGTGTCGAATGAGCGGTTAAAAGTTTTTGATTCATATCTTTCTCTGTTATTAAATTGTTAATATGTTTTTTCATCATTTTAATTCGTTCTTCTGTTGACTCGAGTTTTGTACTTAAATTCTCTTTTAATTTTATTTTTTTTTCAATCTTTTAAGAAAAAATGACATATTTTAGTAAAATAAGAAGACGACATATAAAAGTAATAAATAGAAATAATACTGCGAACTATTAATAATGTCGTAATTATTATTTATCACTACATGCATCATTTTTACATACAAAAATATATGATTATCTATGCTACTGTGCAGTAGCTTACTGTGTTTAAAACTAAAATGTGCACCAAATAGAAATAAAGTGTACACCAGATACAAACAAATGAATTTGTAAGTATGTGCAAAATAAGCGAAATTAGTATATCGTAAATGATTGCATTACTTCTTCTTCTAATTGTTTGTTTTCTTCATTTGCTACCGGTATTCGAAATCCATCATTCCACCCTAATTCAGTTAAAATTGTATCGATATTATTATTCATAGCCATATTTAACTTCAATTCTCTTTTAAAAGAATTCTCTAAAATATAAGTTGTCTTATATCTCAAAGATTTTATATTCAGAAGAGTTTGTAATTTGCCGTCATGGCAACGTTATGTCGATAAGAACGGTGCGTAAATTATAGCAAATTTAGTATTTATTTTATATCAAAAGCTTCTTTTCATTTTATGTTTTCTATGAAAATATATTTGTTAGTTTTTAAGCTATTTGAATAAATGAATATATTTTTTGTAAGAAATATATATACATATATACACATATACGTGCGCTTGCGCATCAGGTGTGTTCATATTCCATACTATGTAGTAAATGTTTTCCAAGTTTTTCAGGGAAAGTAATGTAGTAATTTTATTGATAAAGTTACTGAAACTGAATGCATCGGAATCTGGTATGTAACTAGATGCAGTGAAAACGTGTTTGCTGTGTTTGACGTGAGACAAGAGTAGAAAAATATTGGATAACAATGGCGGACGAAGAATTACCAGCGGGCTGGGAAAAACGTTTAAGCAGATCTACTGGTACGTCAATTTATTTAGTTCTTAATAATTGATATAAAAATACTTTCACATAATTAATTATTTATTTTATTATAATTTTGTTGTATAATTTTCGACATTTCGTTGTATCAGTGCTAGTATAGTGAATACGGCCGGCATTTTTCCGGGTACTAACATTACGCTTGCTAAAATTTTATTATTACAAGCACAGTTGCTAAGGAATTATGAAAATTTAACATTGGATACGCGTTTCTTTTATTTTCATAATATTATAATTATTTACGAAACTAATATGGCGTTAAACATGATCAAAAACATATATTATTATGTCAAAATTTTAAATAAATTCGCAGTTTTGAAACTTTAAATAATTTGCAGTTTTGATAATTTTTATTTTTTATGAAACAAATGTAATAATTTATACTGTAAAGTTTATTGTATTTAAAAATATGTTATAAAATATTTCGTTACAAATGTAGTATCATAAAACGCTGTAACTTGACGTAATTTATATTGTAATATACCTAAAAAACTTGTAATGTATTATTAAGTAATATTTTTTAATAGGACAACATTATTATTTAAACATTTATACTAAGGAAAGTCAATGGGATAGACCAGATAAACCAGCTGATCCATCTGGAAATAATAAAGGAGATGGACCAGAGGAGGTTCAATGTTCCCATTTATTAGTAAAACATTCAGGTTCTAGACGACCATCTTCTTGGCGAGAAGAGAATATTACAAGATCAAAAGAAGAAGCTCTTGAACTTATCAAATGTAAGATTAGTTTTACTTTTTTTGATCCTGTTATTGCAACATATAATAGTATGCATAGTGATTATATAGTTTTATAATCTTGTTTACATACCTAGCTTACAGAGAACAAATTGTGTTGGGAAAAGCAACATTTGCTGAACTTGCTTCAAAATATAGTGATTGTAGTTCAGCTAAGCGAGGTGGAGACTTGGGACCATTTAGTCGAGGTGCAATGCAAAAACCTTTCGAAGAAGCAGCATTTGCCCTTAAAGTTGGTGAATTGTCTTCACCGGTTCATACGGATAGTGGTATTCATATCATCCAGCGAACAGCATAAAATACACTAATCACAAATAAAGTATTAAATTCTTTAAAAAAATCTTCCCTCAGTTTTGCTGGTAAAATATGTTATCACAAAGGTAGGAGATTTTCATAATTGTATTCAAAATCATACATGTTTATTTTTATGATAAATAATTCTTTGTGTAAGAATAAGATGTAAATTATATTTTTTTCTTATACTTCGATGTCCAGTTATATATTTATGTCTTCCAGCAATCTAAGTCGAAGTGGTATACTGTAAAATTTTTATTTAATAGTTTACCATGTGCATTTTCATACAGTAAAAGTAACAAAACTTTTTAATAATGACACAAGATAAAATAGTAAAATTCCATATTCACCTTTAACAATACTCTGTAATGTAATTTGCTAACCTTACATTCCTTAAATATTAGATAAACATTGCATTAGATTAACAGTTGTTTTATTGGTCTTTATTTTATGTAAAATATAAAGTATTTTATAAAAAAAATATATATATATATATTTAAATTTCCAATCTTTTCCTTTTTTAGTTTGCTTTAATCTAGGAAACATTTGTTTCTTGTATTAATTTAATACATGAATTGTAATAAGTCCATTTAAATAGTTAGAAATAACATCAAAAAGAAGGAAAATGAATTTTGTTATAATTTCTTGTAGAAAATTGTGTTATTCATTTTAAATTAAATTGTTGAATAAATTTAAAATTAAACGTTTTGTCCAATTATGGTAGATTTAACATTAATGAAGTAAAATGCAAATATGTATAATTATGAAATTTTTGCTCAAGCAGAGATGAATATTTATGTTATAAATTTTAGCACCACTCCAATTTATTTTATGAATGATTATACTACTTTTTATGACTCAGAAGACATTTATATACAATTTAATTCAGATACTTTTATTTCTTTTCTTGTAAAAAAACGTAATCATCGAATATAATAATTTAATTTTTATTTACGTTCACTTCTCTTCTTATTATAATCCATTTTCTATAAACACCAAACAATATGGAATTATGTACATTTCCAAATTTTATTAGATGTTACAAATATGTCATTATATATATATATATATATATATATATATATATATAAAAAAATAGGATCATTTAAAATTAATTACTAGTAAATTTTGATAAATATGCGTAACATATAATTTTTTGTTTATTTTAATATTTTTATGAAAAAGTTTTTAAATCAAAGATGACACAAAAATAATTTGTTCAGAAATTATTACTGTTTGCAACATTCTCAAATTTTCTAGTCTACTATCCATGCTGAGAATTTACTATGTTTCTGAAGACTGTGAATATTTGTGGAATACATTCTACTTATTATGCTAAGGTGTATGTGTTATAATTGTAATCATTATTTTTTATTGTTTAGCTTTCAATGCATTTAATTTAATCTATATGTATGTACAATATGTATGTGTGAAATACTTTGTTCCTCATAGAAGATGTATTACAAACTAAGTATAATGCCAATACATAATACAATGCATTTATCTAAATTAACGAAACGACACATTTAAATGATATTAATTAACAAATGAATCTTACATTTTTATATACACTTATTACAGAAACTTTATGTTCTATATATTTATTAGAACCATTATTTTTGAATAAACTGCTATTTTCTTGATAACAGTAGTCATGATAAATGCATTATTCCATTAAAAAATGTATTCAAAAAACTGCGAGAATCAATGAAATACACGTAAGAAATATTATAGCGCAGTTGATTCATTTGTATCCTAAAGTAATCGCGTAATCGAAGTTATATTTTTTTTTCCTAACAGCAAGAGAAAGAAAGTAATGATTATTGACTACATCATTATGGGTAGTGTGACAATTTCAGCATAATTATTACATATACTGTACGTGCAATATACTATCTATTATTTGCGTGTAATGTTCCACGATTAAAGGAAATCCGTTATTCAATCACTTCCCTCTCAGTTGGTTTTTTTTTACACGAAGCTTGTTTTAAATCATTATATAATCACAGGTATAAGAGTATATTCGTTCGTATGAGGGAGTCAGAATATGATTGGCACAATGTTTTAGAGGACGTTGCATATCTACAACGTTGTGCACGCTTTAAATATAAACGATTATCGTGGTTCAGTAGGTCAGCTTAAAGGTGACAAGCTTGTACTACATTCTTTCTAGATCACTTTCTTTTTGTAAAATGACAAATGAAATTTTATTGGTCAGAAACATCGTAAAAATGAGATGATAAAAGATTTGAGTTAGAATTGGTATTTTTTTATTTTTAAGCGTAATTTATCGTTTTCATACGTTGATTACTCTCATGCGAGCATATAAATTTATTTATCACATGTTTATTGTTAGATAATATTTTTTCCGCCCTTAAAATGAGGAGTTATTTGTAATTAGTAAAATTATTGAATTTCAATTTTGCCTTATTTTTAATCAATTTTGTAACTTGTTTATATAAATCGATCATGATCGAAACGAGTTATTTATACAAATTATTAAAATTCGACGCGCAACTTTGTACGATTTCATGATTAAGATCACGTAGGTTACTATCTCTCTGTATGGTCTTAACGTGTTTCGTTAAATGAAAACAAAAAAAAGAAAAATACCAAAAAAAGGAGGAAATTTAGAAATATGATATGCTTCTGACGCACGAACGTAATAAAACTGGATATCATTACAGCGTCGGATAGAATATGTGCGCAACTTAACTGGCTACTTGTTGAGGTGCATTACTGTTAAGTCGAACAGAAACCCGAAGCAATATGAAGTTTGTAAATTAAAATTAAGTGCTTGTGTTGAACCATTAGTTAATATTAAATTATTTAAGTCAAAAATTTTTAATTTTATGGTAGCTTTATAATAATATTTAGAACTTTATAATATATTTGTTATTTATATTATTTATAGAAGATTAATAATATTTATAGTAAGTTCCATTTCATGCTAGAAAATTAGTAATTTTTTAGTAAAACTTTAATATTGGTCGAAAAATTCTATTAGAATATTTAAATAGAAGAAAATGGTGAATTTAGTAAATCTTGTGAAACTTCATTCTTTGCTAACTCCATTATTTTCCGATATTGTATCGAAAAACATTTTCATTTATTTAATAATAATTTGTTTTGGTAATGACGACACAACATGTAAAAGTATATAATCAATTATAAAGCATATTTGCTTTTGCAAATTGCATACTTTATTATATAATTTATACTATTTGTAATATTAGTCCGTTTGTTCTTTTGTAACTATATTTGTTTCTTGTAAAGCTTTTGAAAGTTTACAAGATGTAAAATCCGTATGTATAGAACGAATAATGAAATAAAATTGGAAATAAAATATAAGTGAAGATAGAAAATGAGAATTGTGTCTTACAATTAGATCCTTTAGATCTTGAGTAAATGTTGAAAAATATTTTTGTAAAACGTAGGGTAATAAATAAAACTTCAATCGAAAAATAAAGTAAAAAAAGGAATATTTACATTTTTTGAGATTAATATCTATACAAATTAAAACTGACATTTATTCATGAATTGAGATAATGTTAAAAAATGTAGATATCCTGACTATTATTTTGTAACTGTTAATTTTTTTGTGTAATTTATTCGTGTTCTCTTGTAATCATTAAATATCTGATATGTGTATGTGTGTGTGTGTGTGTGTGTGTGTGTCAAATTGGATTATTTTATTTTAAAAAAATTTCAAAAATTTCAATGTAGTTTCAATTTTGTAATTGTGTTTAATTACTTAAGTAACAAAAATGTACAATAAAGATAAAGTCAATTTAATATTTTTTTAAGTTAAGATATGTTATAAAATTTAAAACTAATTATATATAAGCAATCTTGTTATATTTTCAATAATTTAATGTAAACAATTAATGTGTATATATGTACATAATTTATTAAAAATATATATATAGATATACATTGTGGTTTCTATTTTATAAAGCATGCCAATTCTTTTTTTCTATACATATCTTCATATCTTTATATAGAACTATCTACACAGTATACTGCTCTATACGTATTAATTATGATGACCTTTTCAAAAGTACCGCAAATATCTCTCACATTAATTATTTTCTATTAGTTATCGCTACGTGTAACGTAAATTGACGTAAATGATTACATCATACTTGTTTAAGCCAACTCTAGTTTCATTTGGGGCAACTTTCAGAAGAAAATCGGATATACTGCTTCGTTGTAATCTTTGATAGTTATTTACACATTCTTTCATATAAATTATTTTTCTACGCGTAAGCAAGGGGCAACATATCGAATTTTATTATTTCACAACGTTATGTCTGCCAATGATTATGGAACTAACCTAACGAAGCCCCCAAAACATGAAAACGAAATTGAATGAAACTTTGTGCGAGTATGCAAATATATGAAACTTGGAATATGCAAGATACAATTTCTTTTCGATGGAAATCTACCTTGAAGAAGAGAAGTCATTATTTAATTTTGAATTTCTTCGCTTTCTAAATATAAGTTTGTAATAGTTTGAAATAACATTATTATAATAGTATTATGCCTTTACCGTATTACTGAATTTACTATATTACCTTTTATCATACGAAATTTTTAAATGAATTAATCCTTTTGTTCGTTTATGTTTTTAATCGTAAGAGATAGTTGAAAAAACGTTTTTCAAACAGGATGATACACATATGTATTTCACATTGAAAAACATATAAATGATTTAAACTGTTCGATAAAAGCGTAAGTTATGTTCTATTAAATTTTGTTACTCGGCAAGAAGAATTCATAGAATCCCTTTCCGTTTTATAATGCACGTTTTGATATCGCCTTGGAAAAATATATTTTTTTCGTAATCAACACAGTTATCTCTTCGAAAATACGTGCAAACAGAATCGATAAAGAATTCAACGAAAGCTGTGATTTTATCTTTTATATATACTTCGAAATATAGAATTAAGAATATGAATGCTTTGTAAACAATGAAGTTTATCGGGTTAATTTGAACCCAATTCTATAAATATAGTAAATCTTCATTATTCGAGCTAATGTGAAGATATTTGTTGCATTTAAATTTCTTATTTGAATGTTCGAACAAAATATAGATGATATAAACAAAAGATTAGCACAAAATAGCAATTTATCTTAAATTTATAATTGTGTCGTAGAAGTGTTTTGGATTTTTTATTCATTATTAAATTTTAAATAATTGTATGATAATATATTTCTTCACCTTTTTACAAAATTCTAAATAATTAACTGAAGCAATTTTGTGATATTCAATGAAATGATACTTATGGAACTGCTTAATGCTTTTAAATTTTCAGTTTGACGATAAGAATGTAATAGTTTAATAATTTCATATTTAGTTTAATTTTATGCACATTTATTACTATATTATACAGTCTCATATTATATTTTATTGTGATAAAATTTTTGAACAGACAAAATATACGTTCATATAAAAAATTTAAAGTGATGGTAATAGTTGAGTAACGATATATTTAAATAATGAGAAATTCATAATAGTTAAGATAACAAAAATGCTTTGTTTTTATATTTTATATAAGTATTCAGAAATTATATTATTTTATTTCATACAAAAATTTCATAAAACTAATCTTTAAAGTTTCTATAAACTATACATGTAACGTACATATGAAATATTAGCTATAACTAAGTTCGGTGATTCATTAGTAGATAAATATGTTTTAGGAATTCAAATAACCTATATTTTTAAATGCAGATTAGATACTTTCCTTGAACTATTTTATTTGTATATACTACTTGTCCACGGTGGTACTGTCATTAAACTGCATTTTATCAAGCATGATTCACGTTTGTTATGTATATTTTCTACAAAATAAACAAATAGTAATTGCATTTATATAAAGATGGAGACAAAGATAGGATTAAATTGTACATATATATGTTGTTAGAGTATACGTAATTTTTGATGATATGACGAAAGAGTTATACATAAACAATTATCTAGTATCTTTGGTAGATAACAATACCTTTTTCGAGATAGTTTTTGATTTTTTATAATAGAATCAATTTTCATTTTATTTCCATTTTATTTATGTAAATTTAAGTTTCTGTTAAAAAGATTAGTTTCATTACATTTAACATAAATTTATAGGTTATAAAACATTAAATTTCATTCTTAAAATGTTATTTCCTTCTTGAATATCTAGAGATTACAATTCTTCGATTCACGGTTATTAATTATTTACTTAAAATTTTTAATGTTGTTTACGACTGTGTAATGTAATGGAAATATCTCCAGAAAAGATTTATTTAAGTATGGAATATAAATCAACTGTCAATAGCAAATTTATACAGTGTACATACAAAAGATTATAAATAGATATCTAACAAAAATATTTATTATAATAGTTTTCCATAATCTTTTATGGAAAAAATACTTTAGAAATCTATAGATGTCTAAGGAAATAACAATGTCAAATATTCTATTATTACGAATTATGTTTTTTAGCATGTTACTACCTTTATTTCTAAGCTACTTTTACATTCACAATATAAATATATTTATGTTAAAAAATATAATCTTATTAATTAAAATTATAATCAATAGATCAGATAAACGAATTATAATCAATGAATTTTTTTCTGTAATAAATATTACAATTTTCATAAAGTTAAAATTATAAAGAAAATTGTTTTAAATAAAAATTAAATATTCTTAGTACTGATGAAATTTTGACAGTATTTGAGCCATTTGAAAAACAGTCGTGAACAAAAATTTATTTATTGTAATGGATAACTTATAGTAACATCTATCTGAAAAATTCTAGTTTAAAATGGTAGTCTATTATATATATTCTACAGTAAATGATATTGTGCACATTAAAGTATTATACAGAATATGTAAATTATCCTTTTCAGAAAATTTTTAGTATGCTATAAAATTACAAAAATTTATATTACTACAAATTATCGTTCGTTAAAAATAAATGTGTTTTATTAAAAATATTTCTATCATGTTATTAGAGACTGTTCGAACGTCATGGGAATTCCTATATCGTTCACAGCGTACTAAACCTAAAATGCAGGGACACGCTGCGATGCAAGGGAATTTAAATAATTGGACTGATTATATGATTACGAGGTACATGAATTATTATATAATGGTCCTCTACGTAATATCAGCGACTTACTGATCAAATTATAAGTTGAAAATGTGAAACGCATGGCTATCGTGCCACAGTGATAAGTTTATCATGCACGTAATTGAACTTTTAGGGTATCATGAAAAAACTCATCTGCCGGTTGCTTTTCATACAGTAGCAAGTGATGTTACATGTTTTTTTGGAAAATCTTTAAGTTGTTCAAATGGATCTGGTAAAAGTTTTTCCGTGTCCTATTTTCTTTATCCAAGCGTCGATTCTCGTGGGAAACAAGAATTGCGAGTAGCTTTAGAACTCGTAAGTGTCGTGCTAAAATTAAAAAAAGTAGTTACAAAATTAATTCTACTCGATTTATTTGTTCATAAATGATACCTTAATAGAGTTCATACATTTTTTTGAATACTGCTATTTGTTGCTAATACGTTTATAACATTTTTGCGAATGGCCTTTGAGCTTTGGAATATCTGAGCTTTTAATTAGCATCTTGATTATTGGTTCATTTTTTAACATGTCTTAACGTATTCGAATATACGAAGATTGACTCAAGATAAAATTTTATTTATTTAAATAATTAGAGTAGTCTAACAAGTTTTATATATTTGTTTAGAAGTTTCTTAAAGAGAGTAAGGTTTTTCAAATTACCTGAACAATTTAAGTGTCATACTACTTTAATTGAAATGAATAAAATTTTTATGAATTTCTTCAATAGTTAAACCACATTGAATTATTTCAAAATTTACTTCGAATATTCAAATCATTTAATCTTTTCTCGTTTAATCAAATGGTTTTATTAGATAAGTTCCGTTTAAACATTTAGTAAAGCTATCGCGAAAACATTTTTCTTTTTTAACAATTTACATGAACGTAATGAACACAAGATTGAAAATTACATTAAATTCATTTAATTTACTTTCTCGTACGTTGTTGGACCGATGTTAGATATATGTATTTACTTCACATAAAATCGTCAATTATCAGATTCTTAAATGATATTTTCCATTTTTATACTTTGCATTAAAGTAACATTCATATCACTCATCTCGAGTTGTGTAAAATGTATCTCTCTTCTTTTTATTCTACTTATCGTGTTCGATAATTGCATGCGTGTTTATGAGATTCTTCACAGATAAAAATATAACACTTTATTATATTTTGTATTTTATTTTTCGATTTATTTTTTTGTTATTGTAGGTAACTAAAACTAAATACCTTTTTACTGGCAAACAGTTAAGGAATGTTATTGTCCAGTTGCATTATGTTTACAGCTTGTTAGAACGTATTGTTAAGATATGACTTGATCGTTTGTGTCATCGCTCGACTTCTGTTTCCTTTACTTTCCTATGTTGACGAAACATGTTGCATCAAGAAGTAAACTTGAGTTCTACTTTGAAAATAGTTACTTGATAATAAAAAAAATATCTACTTTTTATATAAATGATTTCAAACGTAATACTGTTTGTCAGGAAAATTTATATTCCATCTTACATAATCACAAGGAAATTGGTCAGATAACCTACACGCTTACAGTAAGCATCATAAAAAATTATGAAATAAATTGCGCTGGTTACGTTGCACAAATAAGTTTATATCTATATAGAACATAAAACAGTAAGGTAAATATGAAACAAGGTTAATGTTAAATAAAAATTCTAAACACTAGGTAAAACAATATAGTATATAATTACACACGGTTACTTGAATTTGCCATGGACCGTACTTAATAGGTCGATAATCGGTAATGTCGCTACTCTACACTTTTGTCGAAAGCTAATGAAAAGAAACTTCTTTGACAGCAGGGTCCGCACTCAATAGGGAAAAATATATTTTTCACTAGTTACGTATTATCGATATCTATCGATAGTTACAACCTGAAGTACGTCATTTTGTAGACCCACCTATACGTTAAAGAATCAGAAAAATTGTTCCTTGAAATTTTCAGACGATGATCAGTGACGATCTATTCCAACCTTGAGCAAGTTCACATTACGTCATCGAAGGAGAGTCGTGAATAATTTCCGTCGATGGTTCGTGACCGACAACTACCATGGCAACGCAGGCAGACAAGAATTTTCCGGCATGTAACGATCGAGTGGACCTACGATCACATCGGATAATCACTTTCAAGCTAGAGGTGGGGAATCGTAGCAGTCGAAGAGCGCGGGGTAAGCGACGCGTGCGCTGAAACACTCCTCTACATAAATATCGCAGCCGCGCTCCTACGGTAGTAACACGGATCGTGCTATCAGACGCTCGTTGCCTTCATGACCAGTGCCTTTTAACTCTTCGAACCACAACACGATAGGACGCGACGCGCGACTCCGCTTCATAGTCATCGATCAAACGATCATCTAGAACACCAGCACTCTACACGATCGCTGGACCAGCAATAGCGGTGAGTACGATACTGATCTTTTTCTTTGCATCGATATTTCATTGATTTTCGATCAATGTCATGCATTGTAGTTTGTAAAGAAGACAAGTATTTCGAATTGAATGTTTTAAAAACGATATAAAACAATAGAGGTGCTGTTATTTTGGTGAAAACGTGTGATTTGATTTAATAAATTAGTAAAGTCGAAGGTTTCGATCAAATGAAATGGAAAACTTTGTGACCATTAGGATATTTAGAAATGCTTTTACGTTATATTATAGTATTAAAAGAATTGTCGCGTGTTTCAAAGAAAGGTTGAAATTTGTGTATGTAACAAGGAAACAGTCTATTCTAATTTGTTTCTTTATTGGATAATTTTTCTTCCGTGCACGTTATGTTAATTTTAGTAGTAACCAATGTTGATAACGAAAGAAGTATTATTCGTATAGTGATAGTCGCTGTGTTTACAACAGTTCGCGATTAAAATATAAAGTTTAATTCATACTTTGTAACGATTTTTCTTTCCGTTATATCGTTGTTTATTTAATGGGATGAAAAAATTGATTTTAATTAAAAAATTTAACGAAATATTATTCTTATATTACGTGAAATTTATAGCCATTAAAATATGGTATAAATTAAAATATTTAAAAAAATTATAATTTTGACAGAAAAGAAAAGAAGAAGATAATCTAAAGTGTCTCCATTTAAGCGAAAAAATAAAAATTATAATTCATGCTAATTATAATTTTAAGATATAAAAGGAACTATTACTGATATGGGTAATTTTTTTTTGTCTATGCGAATATTTTCCTATATCCTGGTGATATATTTTGACCGATATGTTTCTCTGTTTTCGTGTACTTTATAATAATTACAATACATTACGATAAATAATAAAGCGTAAATTGCCAGTGATAAAACTTGCGTGAATATACATACCACGAATTGAAGATTATTTAATAGACTTTTTGTTAATCACAACAATATCATATTTATTTAATTTATTATCAATAATGCCCAAATTTATGAATCGATTTCTAAGCAGTTTTCCACGAAGTACTAATAGTTGTTTTGCTTGATGCTAATGACTATACCCAATAATTGATAGTAGATTAAGTTTTAACAAAATTATTATTTACGATAATTGCTCTTCGCAATCAACCATAAAGCAATCGAGTGTCCTTAACGGTTTGGTATGCAGAAAATTCGTTCAACAGACGATATCTAAATTTCTTTATAACGGAAACGATTATCTCCTCGCAAGTCCAACAAAGGACGAACAAAGAGCGTCTTGCACTTTGTTCGGGACACAAGGAACCTATGATTTCTTCGCAATGAATTATATATTGTATCGCGTGCTAAATATTTCATTGCCGTGGTAGATACGGCTGAATCATCACAAGATTGTGCGCTTAAATTTGAAATAGCGTCGATCTCCCTGTGAACGTTTAAATTGTGAAATCGTGTATCAATGAAGCGAACGCACTCAATTCGGTTGCATTATTTTGACTTTAATAATGATACATTATTTATTACATTATTATTTTTCTTTTTTTTTCAATTTTTTTTCGATTTTTGCAACTGTATAAAGTTGTTACGTGAAATCAACTGTATTTTGTCTGTTGTATTTATTCGTTATTTTTAAATGAAAAATTTATAATTTTTATTCCTTTTTCTTTGTCAAGAAAATGTTGAGTTATTTTTAAGTAATTAAGTTTTCCTGATCGTGCAGAAGAAAATAAAATATTACTATTATTTATTATTTATAACAGGTAATTAAAATTAGTTATCTTTACAGGGAACATTATTATCATTTCTATAGTATCTTTGTTATTATTAATTATTATTATCATGTCTATCTAATATAGAGTGATAATAGAATAATAAAATAGTCGTTAATTTTGCACTAAGTTATATTTAAACTGGTAACTCTTCGGGTGCATAAAATAAAAATATTGTATAGCAATTGATTGGAGCATTACTGCGTTGTTCCTTTCTATTTTGTATAAGTTAAGTGTAATTGTAAATTTTAATTTGCTTCGTTTTATCAACCTGAAATAATGCTTATCTCTATTTGAGCGTTTAACGAAATGAAATTATGCGGCAGTTAATTGGAGAATGATTTTATGTCTTCCTTTTTTTCTTAGCATAAACGATTACAGCTCTTATATTTTTGTGTTTCCCGTATATTGTTTTATTTTTCGTTATATAACAAATTTTTGAATTTTTGTTGTTTAGTAATTTCTCTTATATTATTTGATCAATTTTTTTATTTATATTACTTAAGCTGAATGATACGAAAACAATTTTTACAATATTTATTTTTTAATTATTTTTAAAATAAATAATGTTTATTGAATTAATTTCATTATTTCTAATATTATTGTTTTTATACTCTTTACCTTTTAGACTTGTTTGTGTTCAAATATTACCGATCTTTGTCAGTAGAACGATTTTTCAGATTTTTAATTTCAAGTCATTATTCTTTTTTCAGAAGAAAAAGTTGTAGTTTTTCTTTATATATCTTGTATTTCGAAATGTGCAAAATTATCTCTTCTTTTTTGTATTTTTCTGTTCATAGATTGACTCTTGCACGTAAAAATTTGTATACGATTTCTTATTTACCGTTTTAAAAGTATCGTCGACTTTATAGCAAAAAGTCATCGAATTGCTATTTTTTGGAAACGAAAAAATTAACCCGAGTGGAAAGGGTCAATTATATCAACATCGTATATTTAAATTTTTATTCAAATTCATTTCTGATTAAATATGAAAAATAAGCATTACCGTGTACACATAAGTTTCTACTCGAGTTAATTTCGAATTAAATTGAAAGAACCGTATTTATAATGTTTAATATCGTTATCTTCTTCTTGTTACCTTTTTTTCTTTTGCGAAAATATTATATCTTTTATTTCTAGTCGTTCTTATATTTTTCAAGAAATGTAAAAATTATCCGATACGTGTTTAAGCACAGATTTACCCATCGTTCTTCCTTCTCTTCAAACCCAGCACGTTTATTTGCAAATTGTCACGATTCAATCGACGCTGATCCTCTTTCGATCACACCTGCAATTTATTTCTGTCGATTTTTTTCCATGTTGGTCAAAAGGATTATCCAGTGGGCAAGATACTGACCTACATCGTTAAAATAGAAGTTATCGAATTGTATGAAATTTTCATTCGACGTATTGACGGTTTACATTTCGACCGATTGAACCGTGCTCCAGAGAATATGAAATACGATGTACGTAGCTCTTAATGCATCCAAATACATGCGCTGAACCACGATAGTGATTACTATGATTCCGGGAATCGTATTTATATGCGGAAAGAAAGCGAGACACAGGACGAGAGGTCTTTATGCAGTCAATTATCAATAAGAGGATGATAATTCGACATGCTTCTAAGAATCCGAACTTATTGTTAACTGTATTTAGTCTACGTCTCATGCTCGTAATTGTTGCTGAAAATTTTCCTTATGGTAATTTTATATAACGAGTGAGATTGCTCTCGTTGCATTTATTATTTAATGCTAAGGCTTGACCAAGTCAAATCGCATTATCACTTTCGTCATTTCGTTTCACGACTTCTCTTATTTCACTTTGTCTTATCTTTTTCTACTTTATTAACTGTACCAGCCATATTTTACATAATATAATATACGTATGAATGATCAACTTCTTAATACCTATTTCACTTCTCATTTTCTTTCTTCTAAAATTTATATATGTTTGCAGTCTAAATAAGGCCAATAAACTCATAAAAATTTGCTTTAAGCGTGAAAAAGTTCGTGGAAAATGTATAATAATAAAATCTGTAATCTGAGAAGGTTACAGTGGGCAGGAATTATCTAAAATTAGCGAGCAAGGTACTTACTATTACTTTCTATATGTAATTATATGTATATAATTGTATGACTTAGTGAATTCTTGTTTGACACTGAAATGGGAAAAATAAATTCTTTTTATCGCTATATTAAAGTTACTTTGTTTGCTTATTTATTGTTTGTTCTACATTGATTATTGTGAAAAAAGAAAAAAGATAAAAAGAAAGTTTAAGCACCAATCATATGATAGATTTTCAGTAGAAATATATATAAAATGTTGTTGAATTTAGGATTCACTCTTGCAATTTTAATATGTAAATTATTTTTATCTAATACTCGATGTAAAAAATTTAAGTGACTTAAGGATAAAAATGCAAAGTACAAAGGACAAAATTTATAGCATAATCGAGAAGGAAGTGATTCTACATGAAAAATATCGGAAAAGTTTGATAAAATTTGTTTTCATTCAAAGCATTGTTTTCAAGAAAATAGATGTCCATCCGCAAGAGTTCCAATCATTAGCTGTTGCCCTCTGATAGGGAGATCTTTAAGCTGAAAAGTCACTAGATCCGTAGAACTAGCAAGATGGTTCACAAATAACGAATAGGACAGTAAATATAAAATACAATAAATATATAGATCTCTTACAAATCTTGCTAAGAATTTTTCCCCTTTTTGTAAAAGTGAAATACCATTGAAATAAGAAATTTTGAATCGAAAAACTGAGATTTAAATTTTGATTTAGAAATTCAAAGGAAGGGAAGATATATAGAATATAAAAAAGTTTTATTCGAATATTCAGGATATCCAAATGAATTAATAATTTTTAAAAATTGAAAAACAGACTGTGTTGGGAAAGATGTAACAATTTCGAAAAATTTGTTTTTTAAAAATACTGGTATCGAGCGTGTGACAAAATGTTTTGACGGTCAATACTCCGACGCACGAGAACTTTAAATTAGCTACGTACATCTAGTACATGGGCCTGTATATACACTATTACAATTTTCCCACCACGTTGGTCGAGTAAATTAAACCGTGGAAGGGTCAATAATACATTATCCTGTTTACCAATTGCGACAATATTGAATCTCCTATTTTTCTTATCGATACAATATTGCAAATATTAACCTTTTACGGATCACAGTACAAAATAATACATAAAATAATAATAATAAAAACAAGAAAA